TATCATCCTAATCAAAGAGATGAGATACGACGCAAATATTTGATTAGGGGACCTTGTCAACCACGTGGTCATGACTTTCCAAAGAAGATGATAGGGAATAAATTGAGACGATTTAATCCAGTCTGGTTTGACCAATACGCTGATTGGTTAGAGTATAGTATAAAGAAAGATGGAGCATTTTGTTTGTGCTGTTACTTGTTTAGAGAGCAAATTGGGAATGATGCTTTTGTGACAGATGGGTTTTCTAGTTGGAATAAGACCGAGAGATTGAGCGCTCATGTGGGTGATGTTAATAGTTTTCATAATAATGCACGAAAGAAATGTGATGATTTGATGAGGCAAGATCAATCTATCGTGCATGCTATGCAGAAGCAAAGTGATATTATGAGAAACGAGTATCGTATTCGGTTGAATGCCTCGATTAGTTCTTCTAGATTTCTGTTGAAACAAGGGCTACCGTTTCGAGGTCACGATGAGTCAGAAAATTCTGATAATAAAGGAAATTTTCTGGAACTTGTGAAGTATACTGCAGAACAAAATGATATTGTGAGTAAGGTTATTTTGAAGAATGCTCCGGGAAATAGTCAGATGGTTTCTCCAACAATACAGAAAGATATTGCACAATGTTTTGCAGAACAAATAACCCAAGATATAATTCAGGAGATTGGTCATGATGTATTTGGGTTGCTGGTGGATGAGTCTAGTGATGTTTCTGATAAGGAGCAGATGGCAGTTGTTTTTCGTTTTGTTGATAAGAACGGAATAGTGAAAGAGAGATTCATTGAGCTTATTCATGTGAAAGAAACATCTGCTTTATCTCTGAAGTCTGCTATTGATTCCTTGTTTGCTAAATATGGATTGAGCTTAAAACAAGTTAGAGGACAAGGGTACGATGGAGCAAGCAATATGAAAGGAGAATTTAATGGATTGAGATCATTGATTTCAAGAGAAAGTAGAGCAGCATATTATGTCCATTGTTTCGCTCACCAACTTCAATTGGTCGTTGTAGCAGTTGCAAAGGAACTCTTTGATGTTGGAAACTTTTTCGATATGATTTCACTTTTGTTGAGTGTGGTTGGAGGTTCTTGCAAAAGAAAAGACATGATTCGAGAAAGCCATAGAATAAAAGTGAACGAAGAAATTAATAATGGCGAGATTAGTACAGGAACTGGGTTGAATCAAGATATTACTTTGCAGAGACCTGGAAATACTCGTTGGGGGTCCCATTACAAAACACTGTTGCGCTTGGTTGAGTTGTTTTCTTCTATCATTGAGGTGCTAGAGTATGTTGAGAATGACGGTACAGATACAGTTAAAAGACGTCAAGCCTATGGTCTTCTCAAATATTTCCACACATTTGATTTTGTGTTCTATCTACAACTGATGTTACTCATTCTAGGACTCACAGATAATTTATCAATGGCTTTACAGAGAAAAGATCAAGACATTTTGAATGCCATTTCGTTGGTAAAATCTACAAAGAGACAGTTACAACAACAAAGAGACGCTGGATGGAATTTGCTTTTAGATAATGTGTCTTCTTTCTGTGAGAAACACAATATTGAAATAATCAATATGGAGGAAGATTATGTGGGTTCAAGGAGGCTAAGGAAAAAACCCAGTATAAGCAACTTGCATCACTATCAGATAGATTGTTTCTATACTGTTATGGATTTCCAGCTTCGAGAATTCAATGATCGATTTGACGAGGTAAATTCAGAACTGCTCATCTGTATGGCAGCTTTGAGTCCTATTGACTCATTTCGTGGGTTTAACATGCCAAATCTTGTGAAATTGGCTGGATTTTATCCAGATGACTTCAGTTTTTCGGAGCAAGTATCTCTTCGACATGAACTGAGTATCTACTTCGACAATCTGATGGAAGATGACAGATTTTCTAATTTGGTTAATCTTGGAGATCTTGCTCGTCTTATGGTGGAAACAAAGAAACATCTTTCATATCCATTGGTATACAGGCTTTTGAAATTGGCATTGATTTTGCCTGTTGCTACCGCGACTGTTGAGAGATGTTTTTCATCGATGAATTTTGTGAAGACAGCTTTGCGCAACCGGATTGGTGATCAATTTTTGAGTGACTGTTTGGTTTGTTTCATTGAAAAAGATATATTCCAGACAGTTACAAATGAAGCTGTTATGGATAGATTTCAAAAAATGAAGACTCGTAGAAATCAGTTGTAAAATATAAATATTTTTATGATAATACAATTTTATTATTTTTTCTATCATACATAATACTGTGCCCCCGGTATAAATTTTTTCTGGATACGCCACTGATGCCATGCCACGGCCTTCACCATTCTCATACGCAAAACGAAGGTTTCTCTACATGATTTAGCACGTTTTATTTTTTGCAAAGCTTCGTTGAATACGAAAAATTCGTACAAAGTATTTAAAGTTTTCGATTGAATTTACCCAAAACTCCAACAAAATACACTGTTGTTTGCCTGAGGGGTTGGAAGAAACAAAAAAGGGTCTCGCCATGATGATTGATTGGGTGTAATATATTATTACAAGAGGAGTTTCCATTTGTCTTTTTTTGGGTACGCTCTGAATCAAAGGATCCAACTAAAACCCTACGATTTTCTATGTATACGATGAAAGACCAAAACCCATCACCATGTAACAACGGTTTCGTCCTTCTCCAACAAGTTTTTTTTTCTTTTTGGGAAAAAAATATGAATGAAAAATTTACCTATTTGGCAGTTCCGCTGTGGTATATCTTTTGTTTCTTCATCTCATCTCCTTGTTCTTCTGGGTAGATGTCGACGAGAGTTGGCTGTTAATATGGAAGTGATCCATCTTACTTTTGGGTTTTGATCCTCGAAGCTTCATAGATCTCCTTGATGTGGACGATTTGATGATGGGGCCTTCTTTGATGGCCACTGGGAGCTCTGGTGCAGAGTCCGGCCATGGGGTTCGCTTTGATGGGATCGTGATTTCCAGTGGCGGGTTGATGATCCATCTGCAGATGCATACAGGTCAAAGAAAATATATCAAACTCTGGTTATTGTGATTTAACATTTGATAATAGATCTGAGGTGCAATCACTGATTTACCTCTTAGGTATGTTTATGACATGTTATAATCTCTAATACATCTCATCTCTCTCAGTTGATAAAGAGGAATGCTACCCTTCTTTAGGACTTGCATAGGGAAATGATCGAGTATCGAACTGAATGCTCTCCTAGAGAGTTTGTTTCAATGGTGTGACACTATGGAGAAGGGGGGAACTTACCCTGGCGGGAATTTGCTATCGGCACGAGCTTCAACCCGAAGCCACCAGAGCAGAACTTGGCGGCCACAGCTTCCAAGTGGCTCCACCATGGAAGGATCCTTTACCAGAGACAAGGGGCTATCTATCTCTTCATTACCCTCCAACAGCAAGTCAAGATCCTTGACCCATGAGGGCTTATCGTCAACATCTTCCTTCCATAGCATCCTTGAATTCAAGACAAACCCAGACCATTCCAGCCTGCCAGGCATTACAGCCGCTTTGTCAACGATATGAACCGCACTTTTCCCGGCATAAGGCTGTGTGTCGAAAGAGCGCCACCCAACCAATTTATCAGAGGCGTCACAGCTTGGACCTTGGACTGGCGAGGGGTGTTCTTCCTGCTCTCCTTGATTCATCAATGCCGACAATTCATCTGCATTGCCCGAATGGGCGAGTATTCCGACAGAGACAGCACCAAACCATTTGACATTTTGAATCTCATCGAAAAGCTCCATGCTATGAATGTTACTGTCATCAGCAAACACAACAATGCCATCCAATCTCTCCTCCCTCACGGCTCTGCTCTCCAATCCACAGAAAAATTATTCAAGCCAGTCAGATTCCCATTATGCTAATACGATTTGCAACCACAAAGCAGAAACAGAACTTAAAACACTAAGGCAGCCCATCTATCACCAATAAGAACAAAACAAATGGCTGCAGAGGAAGCTGGAGAAAGGTTCTGACAATTCACCTCAGAGCACGAAGCCGCATTTTGATCTCTGATTTATGGCGATCATCCCACGTATTCGGCATTCTCTGATCGAAGCCAACGTGAATCGTCCTTAAGCCTGACTTCGCGATGATGGAAGCCGTCTCGTTGGTGGTTCCACCGGCCTCGACCACGATCCACACCACATCGTACGGCACAAGCATGACCGAGTGCATAACGCCGGTAAGGTGAAGAGCCTGGAACGTCCGTACATACGTCGGCGTCACCGCAATCACTGTCTTTGGGCTCTTCACACCGAACAACAGCCTCTGCTCCTTCTGCACTCTCTCTATAAGCTGGTGCGCTCTCATGACCTCGACCGGGTTCGGATGTGGCCACGGACGGATCCGGATCCCCTGCCTTCCAACCACGACTCTAGAGTTCGGCGCCGTCCGGTTAGGCGAGGATTCCAGGTTCCGTAAAGTGGAGAGCGCGTCAAGAGGCCTCAACAGCAGCTGGCCGCCGCCGGCACCGGAAGACCATACCGCCGTCGAGTAGAAATTAGTAGCGGAAGCGGAGAAGAGGAAGAAGAGGACTATTCGGGAGAACCGGAAGCCTAAAACCAAGCTGACCAAGCAGCAGATGCCATGAAGAACGAGCCAGAACACCGCCGACGGCGACTTTCCGGCGCCGACACCGTCGGAAGAAGGATCCAACGGCGGCGACGATCTGAAGCTGTTGGTCCGGCGGTTCCAGTAGCTCTGCGGGAACACAGAAAGCTTCATCTTCTCTCCCTCTCTCCTTCCTGCTTCCGTGAGAGCAGAGGAAATTAAAGGAGAAAATCTAACCAGAGTTTTGATTTAATCAAATGATTACTTGGCATTTAAGCTTTTGATTCTGCAGCCTAATTGCAATTCTGGTCCAACGAACATCTTTGGAAAGCGAAATCTAAAAGGAAAGCAATGTCGGATTTAGAACCAATTAATTTTTAACTACCACATTGAACCGCATTGTATTTAAGGAATAAAATTCTAATTAGCAGTAAATACTCTCTCTCTGCAGGTACATTTTGGGTTCTCAGGTACATATACACGTGGCGCGATTCCACTGGACGATTGAGGAGCCGCAAAGAATGGGTGTCTGATTTCGCCATCGAAGATCGAGGATATATGAAGATGCAAATTTGATTTAAAGAGTCCGTCAAATTTCATATCGTCAACGTTTTTCTTATGTCGACAAAATCGCGAATGGGTAAAAAAAAAGACGAGCATTTTTTTATAAAAAAATTATTACTAAGAAAACAAGGAAGACATGGCGTTAACGTCGTCCTGACCAAACGGTCGAGTTGGGTGAGAAGTCGGTCCAGATTTTGTTGTCGACTTTTGGCTCCATCCATCACCCGAATGACCTTTCGATTCCCTTTAGATGGAAGCAAAAGCAACACGAGATTCTCGCCTTTGAATTCCTTTTCTAACCTCCTACCATTTTAATTTTCCATTTTCTTTTCTTCCTTTTATGATGTTATAATAAAAATATTTAATTACCATTTCACGGTTCGAGGCGTTAAATATGATACATTTGATTTTGCAAGAGAGAAACCCATGCTTGACCGGGGGCCCAAGTTACAACTCGAAAAGAGGGACGTAATAAACTTAAAGCGAAGCCCGACTTAGGAACCATGTGAAGCCCATTAAGGCCCATTAAGACCATCACCCTTTCCACCAAAAGGACCATATATATAGTCTATAGAGAGTTTGCGTCATGACCAATGCGAAGAATTTGTGTAAATTTTTACCAAATTTTATAGGATTTTACAAATTTGTGCATAGAATTGTGCAGTCGCCATATCGACTATGATGAAACTAGCATAAGATTTGACAGAGTTATGAGATTTTCGTGAATAAGTGAATTTAGACAATATGTTATTTTCGTAATTAACCATAACTTTGTTTTCCTTAAATATTGTCCTTTCTTCAATTTACGACTTATATAAAACAATTGAAAGTTGCCGTTTTTCATCCCAAATATATCTAAACAGAGAGAAAGGCTATACATATTTCAATGCAATGTATGTATGTATGTATGTATGTATGTATGTGATATTAAAAATATATATATTTTCCCATGAAATCCAAAATTACAATAACATTTTGAAGAAGAAGAAAAAGTTATTTTTTACAAACTCGTGTGAAAGAGCATTGCTGCGTCATCGCTCGTCATCAACTATTACATACATAGAAAAAACACCCTACCGACTTGATTGTTTATTTAAGGAAAAGACAAAAGGAAGCTTTCTTATTTAGGCGAAGAAGAACTGGAACGTTTTTTGTTTCCGCGACAGAACTGCGTGCTGTTTTTGTCCATCCTATCCAGCACGTAGTGCGCAAGCATATCGTTAGATTCCACGAGATTCTCCCGGCAAAGGAACTCGACGCCGCAAAGCCTCTCGACGTCCCTGTAATAGTCGTGGACGAAGACATGGGTCTTCGGGTTCCCGCCTTTTTTGCTCCGGGAAAGCACCGCCGCCGTGAAAATCGACGACATCCGACCAGGTCCGTCGTGTCCGTTGCCACGTGGCCCGTCGACGAAGATCACGTCCCAGTCAACATCGTACACGTGGTTCGGCAAGTCGTTGAGACCCAGCTTGCAATCGGAGAAGAGGAGGTTCTGAACCGGTCGGCACTCGTTACGCGCCGCCTCTTTCGCCGCCGAGACGAGCTCACGCGCCTCCGTGGCCTTTGTCGTGTACTGGACATCGAACACGTCGATCTCCGGGTGAAGCTCCTCGAAGTACGCAGCGTAATAGCGGTTCTCCTCGACGAAGACCGTACGGCCGTTGTGGTTGAGAGATTTCCAGAGAAGGGTCTCGTGGGTGAGGCCGAAGACGAGGAGATTGCACGGCGGAGCGCAGCGGCGGAGCACGTCGGAGATGGATTTCATCTCTCCGTAGGACATGTGGAAGCTGTCGTTGGATCTCGACGCGTAGTGAAGCAGAGCGTTGATTACGCTCGTCGGGAGCTGGGGGATACCGGTGGTTGCGGCGGCTCCGGCGGATGTGACGGCGGCGACGGAGGAAATGGCGGAGGGTTTGGAGAGGAAGGAGTCTCTGGTGTAGAGTAAGGTGAGGAGGAATGCGATAGTGAAGAAGGAGACGAAGGCCAGAAGCCATAGCCGATTCGTGCTAGTCTGTTTCTGTATGTAGGGATGAAGAAGAATGAGCTTCGTGTTGTTGTTCCCTCCGTTCTTCATCTCTCTCTCTCTCTCTCTCTCTCTCTCTCTCTCTGCAGATTCCGGCGTGGAGGAAGACGAAGGATGAACCTGATCTTCGAAGGGAGACGGAGGGTTTGATTTAAAAAGGAAGTGTTGGGTTTTGTGAACAAAAAGCAAATGCTCATTGGTCACATTTACAATTCAACATTATAATTATATATTAATAATACACCATATCTCTCTAGAAGCTTTATTATTTAATTAATGGGATTTATATAATTTTATTCGATATTTAAAGGTTATAACTTACAAGATTTCTGAAAGGCGACGTTTTTCTAATACGACGGGACACTTACATATGTAATTCACGAATCTGTTACATATGTAGTAAGTTATGTTTGGATTTTTCAAATTCAAGTACCTAAACTATTTAAGTAATAATATTCATATGGTTGGTTAGGTCTGCTATGGTTTAGTTGCTAACCATTTTTCTATTTAGTGATTTGTGGTAATTTTATTATCCGATTAAGAGGAAATTGATGGGATTACAAAGCAGGAACATGAAATCATAAAAAGAGTTTGGATCCGCTCCAACGTTAAGGGAACAGAAACTCAAAAAAGTAATGTGCGGACCGTTTCTTATGAAACTCAGTTGTAAAAGCATGAAACTTAAAACAAAGATCCATCAATGACATGTAATTATTGTAATTAATCAGACGGGGTTAATTAAAGCATAATTTAATAAGGGATTAGAGGGTGGTTGTTGTACTGTACATGCATGGAGCTGGTGAATGGAGAAGAAGAGAGAGAGATTTTTTGAAATTTATGGGTCAGTGCAAGTGACCCTATAACTAATTACAGACCAAAAGTCCCTGTCCCTTCTTATTCTTCTTCTTATATGGTTTGGTTGCTACGACACATCCCAATATGTTAAAGATTCATTTCTATTATATAGTATTAAAAAAAATGAAACACAATATTTTATTGAATTAGAAGAGGAACCGATGGATTATGACGACCCAACTTAAAATATATTATTGTAAGCTATACACATACACATATAATTATTTATCACGTGCTGATAAACTTGATTTTCTCTTATAAGTCTGATTAATTATCATCCGTTTCTTTTTCTGGTTATATCATCTGATTTTGAGGGATTTTGATTAAAGTTTGACTTATTTCCCCCTAATGGTAAAGTTTGGGAAATTTACTATTCGGTCGGAATTTCAGCTTTTCGTTTGTTTTCTTTATCAGATTGTAATAAGTTTCTTTTTTCTAAAGTTGTTTGTAGATTTTAAGTTACCCATTGATTCACTCCACAGCCACTGGGTAAATGAACAGGAACGGAACTTAAAATATCATTAAAATTATTTTGAATGTGAAAAAAACGTTTTTGTAGGATGTATTTTTTTTAAAAAAATGATGAAACCGCTTCCATGAATTTGGCACGTGCGATTAACGCGAGAGAGCAGCGCGTGGAGCACATCATTTAATTAACCCAAAAAGGCCCAATCGTAAGAAACCCAAAATGAGTTCCATCAGACACCGAAGCCCAACACCATTCAATATGAACCCAAATACTAAAGGATTTGAGGCCCAAATTATGATTCATGAATTTTTGCAGCGTAGATCCGAATAAATAACGTTTTCTTATTGTTTTTTTTAATCATTTATACACATTTAAGTATAATTAAATTTTTATCAAGCCTATCTTCCGAATAATTCTTTTTTTTTATAGTTAAATGTGTATACTTCAATAAACTTGGAAATAACTTGGAAATAAGACGATGTTAATGCTGTATATTTCATATTAAGATTTTGTGTTTAATATCAGTTTTCTATTTCATCCATGATATCATCCAACTCTAGCAATGGAACAAAAATGGAGGAGCCAGGGGACACTGACACATTTTGTCTGGTTTGTTATATTATCCACTTTCTCCCAGACAAACGAAACCGCATCTGATCCATTCTCGTTTCCTTGTGGGACCCAAATCTTAAAGATGTTCCATGAAATTACACCTTTATAAAATTCTCTCCCCCTCATCTGGTAATAGGAGGGCCTAGAGCCTAACCATTGCGAACAATTTTCAGCAGGTTTTCTCTCTGTATCTCTCTATCTATACAGCAACGATAATATATTCTGTTTGACAGGGAACATGCAATAATCTCTGGTCGCCCATCAACTACCCAAAAACTGTGTTCAGGAGCACATGATGAGACAAGATCCAGGAGATAACTTGTTCCACAAGTAACCGCTGCTCCTTCGAATTGATGGATATCTCATCCCATAAAACGCCATTCAGATCCGTTTTCTGTTTCAACCTTATGTACAAAAAAAGTTCCTGCACCTGCGCCCTTCTATATATATATAGCCTGTGAGTATCAGAGGAAAGCACATGGTGTTGATTGCTTACCAGCAATAACGTGTGATCTCTATCCAAAACAATCTCCCGTTCATCAATGGCGGAGAATACTGATGATGATGATGATGATGTCATGGTCATCACATCACATGAAGTGGTGGGTGAGTACGAGGCTTGAATCTCATGATGGTCTCGTCACTGTGCTTTATCCACTCGGAGAGTTTCCACGGCTTCTGCCATTTCCATTTAAACTGGAGCAGCCACTGGTGATGGCTCCTCTTCCACCTCCATAGTCTGCCACTTTGTCCTACAACCCCCGCCATTTTCTTCACTGATGACTCTCCCATCGGTACCATCTGTTCCCAAAAAACACACACACATTTTTGGTTTGAACTGGCAATAAAGGGAAGAAAGACAACTGATTCAACAGCAAGTAGGAAAGAACACAGCTCACCTTTCTTGTCTGGTCAAGGAAAGCTGCTGATTCTCTGACAGAGACATTGACAATGCCTGGCGCAAATTTTAGGTGCTTTGAGGCTGGAAAAGATGCCGGAGATCGTGGGCCGCTACTGTCATCCGCATAGCGTCTCGATGAGCAGTATGAACTCCCCTGCTAGAGTGAACTTCAGCTTTTAGGAAATGTATAGAGATGCATGTGATAACAAAATGCAAATTCAAGGTTAAAAATTGTGAGGATGATTAGCATAAAAAAATCCAACCGAAGAAGATGATGTGGCCAGTGCAATCGACACTGTTTGCTCTCTCATCTTTTGCTCTCTAAGGATCTCTCTTCTCTGGACTTCGCTTAGTCTCAACAGACCGTTCAGTTCGTTCAATTGGTCCTCCATCTCTTTGATGTCTTTATCCTTCTCCCAAACTTTGCATCTGTTTTTCATGTCAAGTATTTTTTTCACAGAGGAGTTGTATTGGACAATGTCTACTTACATATGCACAAAAACATTCTCCCGACCCCATTTTTTTAATTGAACTTTAGACAAGAGATGTTATGGTTTCATTACATTACCTTGCTTCCGCAGCAGCATTAAATATATATTGAAGCAGAAACTTAGCATTTGCCATGGACTGAACTTGTTTCCACCGTGTCCGAGCATTCACTCCATGTTCCTTTTCTTCTGCTTCTGAGAGTTGAGAGCCCATGGCTGTGAGAGCATTTGATGACACTTCCAGCATGTTCTCAAGAGAAGCTATTCTCTCCAATCTTGTGTTCGATGACGAAAATCTAATATGTGGAGAAAGAAAAAGGCAGGTGAGAAAAAAAATCCATGTTCAGAGAGTGAATCAACTACAGTACTCCATTGCCGGAGCATGAATAGCAAGTGACATCAACACTGTAACATCCTTGCTCGATATTGTGTCGAAAATAAGTGGAAGAGATAGCCACCATCCGCACCTAGTTTGTATGCTTTTCAGCCGATGAGGACTCGGCATGCTTGAGGCAAACTCCATCTCTTGTTTCAAAGCAGCTAACTCTTCAGCCAAAGCAGTTCGTCTAGAAAATTAGAGCAAATTATTTCTAAGAAATACCTTATAGAAGAAATTTGCAAACGGCAAATAAAGTCTTGAAGACGCACACTTGCGCTTGCTTCTCGTACTGAAGACGAACTTGATGTATTTTTACCATAACTTCTAGTTCATTATCAAGCCAGTTCTGCAGATTTTTGTCATCCATCTGCCAAAAGTAGGACGGTTAATACTTAGGATGGAAAAGCTGAATTTAAATTAGAATATTAGGAGGTGCCTTCTAGTTTTCGAAAGATTAGGTTACTGACTCACAAAAGTACCTCAGGAAGCATTTACCTGTCCATTAGGTTGTTGACCATTGGCATTCACTGTAAAAGGAAAGAATGAATCAGAATCCTGAAAAAAAACTGGAACCTGCATTTCGGGATAACTTTACCTGAAATACCACGTGGTGATGACTTGCGGGCTTCCAACAGTTCTTTAAGTTTCTTGGTAGCCAAAGCTGCTTCCTCCGTTTTTCTCTGAAGAACCTGCAGAACGTTATGATATGTTCTCTTCAAGAGGTTCAGAAAGGAATGAAAACCTTTGACTCTGTACTTGTTCTGGCTAATTCTTCTACATTTTTTCTCTCAAAGCTGAAAAACGCATATGTTTAGTAGTAGCTTACCATTTTCTGACGGCGATTTAGGGCTTCCAGTTTGAGTCTTTCATGTTCAGTCCTTCTGCCTTCTTTCTTGAGCTGCCCAAGAAAAAATTGAAAAGGAAAAATCGTGCAAACTTAAGGTAAGTACTATAAATCAAATTTGAAAAGGAAAATGGTGGTGAAGGTCAAGAACCTGCAGCAATTCTTTCTCCCGAGAGGCTTTCCAATGTCGAAATTGTTCAGCTTCCTGTTTCATCTTCTGTTGCAATTGAACCTAGATTTACAACAAAAAAGAACAAACGGTAGTCTATAAGACAATGTATTACGGTAATATGATAGCTGCAACCTGAATGAAAATCAACCTTTTGAGCCTTAATCCATTGTATATCAGCTTGCAAATGTTTCGCTGCCTCTTCACTTTTTTGTTTTTGTTTCAAAAGCTCAACTCGGTTTTCTTGTTTCTTCTTGAGATCTAAAATCTGTGCCTCAAGTGCTTTTAGTTTTTGTGCATGATTATCTCGTGCGCTAAATGCTCGCCTATCAGAACTAGCAGCAAATGCCTCAACTTCAGTCAACAATCGATCTCTCTCCATCTGTTTTCGTTTTATACAACCAAGGTAAAAAAAACAAAAACAAAAATCGAAGACCTGAGAATGAAATAAATGGAAGAATATTTCGTTTCACCTGCACAACTCTTTTCTCTTTCTCAAGTTCCATTATTTTCTTCTCGAAGTGTTCCTTGACAGCTTCAGTTCCAACTCCTCCATATACTTTTATCGCAGACTACACATGTAAAAGCTTCCAACTTAAGACAGAGATAAAATGATAAGTTTGTCAATGGATCCAATCCATTTGTTTGTCAATTAGTCCTTTCCCACTGTTCATCAATTAATCCATGAAATATAATTTTTAATGTTCAAACCTCTTTCTGCTCCAGACGTTTATTTAGTTCGCTTAATTCTTGATCCATACTATTCTGTCTAACTGCATGTTCCCACTCTTTTGCTGCTGCAGCAATATCTCCGGAATTTTCACCTGTAGTCAGGAAAGATCTCGAGATGAAATCCGAGCAGGAGAACGCAAATGCATTTTATGAAACAAGTTTCCAAAAGGCAATGTCCAAGACCTGATGTTGCTTCACTCATTTCATAATCCAATGAACCCATACTCTGGAAGCCCCTTTTGAGCCCATCATCTTTCACAAAAACAATGCCACTTTCCTGAGAAAGAATCAAAGAACATACGATCAGGTAAACAACCCATGTTCCCAGCATTGAAGATCATCACCATATTAATCTATCAATGAGTGACCAGAAAAAAGAAAGTTTATCAACATAAGGGAAGAGATTACACACAATAGTCTATAGAGAAATTACCTGTGCATCAATATCACAATACCCAATAGTAGCTTGTTTGCTGCGATATATGTGAAGTTCTCGAGAAAGCTCCTCATTGGCAGTCTCCAGTCTCATAATTCTTTCACGGAGGACCTTTTCAAACAGGAAAGTACCTTATTAGTGCAGATGAAAGAGACTTTAACCTTTTCACTGAAGTTGAGCATTAGTCATGTACCTGCACTTCATCTGATGTGGCTTCCCCACGAGAACAAAGTGCAGCCTGTAAATATTGTAGCTGTTGACGCAACTTTTGCATCTCACTAGATATTACATCTTTATTGGCCTGTAAACCAAAATAAGGAAATCTTAGCTCTTACAAATGCTTACAGCTTTTGAACTTTCCTAATCACATTAGCTCGTGATGGAACTTCAATTGACAGAAAAGCTCATTAAAAATAGTTCCCGATCCTTACAACAAGTTTATTCTGAATATTCCGAGCACGATTTGCATATTTGAGCGTGTTCAGAGTTTCTTCAGCATTGACATCAGCAGGACTGATGCAAGCTAGAAAAAGAATATACATGGAAAAGATTCAGTTGAATATTTAATTGAGATTTCTGAGAATAAATTGGAAACCAATTTCACTGCTACCTATCATGACTGTTTTGCTATTTCCACCAAGAGAATCCTGCAAACAATGTAAAGGACATTTATATAAGATACCTTGAAAAGAAGGTAAGAAAATTAAGTGAACCCCATAAGAGCTCCATTGTAGGAAATCTTTTCATTGAAAATTCTGTCACACAACGGTTTCCCTATATGACTGTATAAATGGTCTAGTACTTATTCCTTGAGAATGTTGGAAAAACTAAATGCCTAGTAGAAAAATTATCTCTGGTTGTGCAACCAAAAGATCATATCTCTATATAGAATTCTGCAGCATTACACGATGAGCTTTTCAAAAAATTACCAGAGGTGTAGACATGGTTAGTAGTGTCACGTATCAGAAGTACAAAAATAGAAATGTAAATATAACCTGCAATAGACGTGTCAGTTTGCTATCACGGTATGGAACATGAGCACTTTCTTTCCGCTTTTTGTCATCCCCAAGTGCACTGATGACATTACCAAGTGCAAGAAGCCCCTTATTAATGTGGATTCCTGCTTGAAAGAAGAGGCTAGGTTTAAATGAAATAGTCAGGTGGAAAGACAACATCCTCTAAAGGCATGTGGATGGAAAGTCAGTTCAGCCAACCTTCTTTCAAACGAGCACCATTTGAACCTGTCCTTTTAGCTCTTTCAGATCCAGCAAGATCTACCAAATGAAGCTTGGCACAGAAATATTCTTCACCCATATCCTCATCCACGTTGTCATTATCAGGAGAGACTGAATGGACTTTACGCATCTGTTCTAAGGTGATTGTGAAGATGGCATGGGACCGACTTTTGATATCATACAGAACAAAGTCAAGTACTAGGATATCAGGTCAAATCTGATCAAATGGTGTAAGCACGAAATAAACCTCTTCTACTTCTAGGATCAATCAATTGCATACTTGTGTCTGGAATATATATACAAAGAAATCTAATCTAATATAGGATATAACAACGACGAAACGAATGGTTCCCGATGCAAGAATCTGTCAAATCTAAGTATGTCTCTCAAATATTCTCACATCGTTGTAACATTATTATTATTATTTCATTGAATGTGTTTTGTCAACATTTAAAACATCTATACGCTTTAATATAAGGGAGGCAAAACTATGTAAATTCTATGACACTTCTTTAATTCTTATAAAGGTTGGATATCAAGCTAAGGTGTATACGTTCTCACCTTGATTGATTATTCATATTTGTTCTCCCAGTTGCCCGGGTCAGAGACCCTTGCTCCAGACAGGCAGCCATTTCTTCTCGAGTAGTTACAGAAAGTTCAGTTGCTCCAGATAATGTAATTACTCCATCAGATGATTCACGAATTTGTACAGTAGACTTCCCAGAAACAATCTTTCCAGATTGTCCATTGGCCAGTTTGTTAGCACGCACACCATCCAGCAAGTCCCTCACTTCTTCTTTCAGAATCTACAGATTGAAGAATGAGTTAATATCCAGTAAGATTTCAACTGTTACCAAAATTCTTATGGTTAACTTCCATTGACAGATAGATTGAGTTGTGGAAGCATTTTTCACAAGAGTGACAGCATCTGAGTTCTACTTTGGTAAACAGGCTTGTTAAAACAGAGAAGAGAGAAATGGGCAACTGTTTTGCATTCCGCAAGTCATATATATTGGAATGCGAAAGAAATACCAAATCGGACAGATTTCTGCATAGAAGAAGCTGAAGTTACCTCGATGAAAGAAACATGGAGCTGGAACTCCGTTTGATGCTTCACTGTATCAATCTTGCTGAACAGAGCATTCATAGCTTGAGGAATCAATCCACATTGATTACCATCTTTAAAGGCAGTCCCCATGGTGTATGTTTTGCCAGATCCTGTCTGCAACATTCATCTAAATCAATGACCAAATACACGAGAAAAAGCAGCCAAATCGAACCTTGTAATACTTACAAAAATGGGTTTACCTGACCATAGGCCATCACGGTAGCGTTGTAACCATGGAACAAACCATCAACAAGAGGAGCAATGCATTCTTCAAACATTGAGGAAGACGGAGAACCGCTACTTCCGTAGACAAGATCAAATGTGAACGAATGTGAACCTATTTGCACCTGCACCACCATGAAATTGGGCATTTCAAGTAAGGTGCTTGAACATCAGGGTTGAGCAGGTAAATTATCAAAAGAACAAGACTTTGGTGATTGACATCAATCCACAAATTCAATGAATATCAGAATATCTCAAAAATAAACCATTCCATTTCACATACGGCTTGCCACCATGGAATCACAAAAACAAGCAAACTGATGAAAATTAGCCTCCAACCCATTATAGTTCTGCGAAAATGATTTCCTCTCTCTCTCTCTCTCGCTTCAATTTCTTTTCTGGGAAAGTTTTGACCCAAGTACATAGCAGCACTAGCCTCCTTCATTAACTTTACAACCATAGGACAATGCCCCAAGAAAAACAGGGAAAACACCACGAATTCTCACGGAGAAAGAGAAAATTAATGTATGGTGTCAGAGGTCGAGGTGGAAATCAATCCGGATCCAGAAAAGGAGTGAACAAAACGACAGCGTTTCAACCGCACCCTCAAAACACACAGAGATCCGGAGACGACGGCGACGAAGAGACTCGACCGAATCCGAAGGATTCAGCAACAGGCATCAAGGATCAACTCACCTGAGGCATTCCCGGAGAGACGGTGACGCATTCTCTGCAGCCTTGAGCAATCTCGTCTCCGATCAACGGGCGCACGTTAACCGCCACTTTAACGGAGCAGTTTTCCGGCGACGGCGAAGGAAGCAAAGAAGGTCCCATGGGAATAAATCTCCTCCGCGTTCCACGATTGGGTGATGAACAAGGAGATCCAGAAGAAGAAAGGAGAGAGGTATCCGGGAATGGGGATAGTGGAGGCGGGAGAGGGAGAGGGAATGAGAATGAGAGAGAAACAAACAGAGGAAGAAGAAGAAGAAGAAGAAGAAGAAGAAGAAGAACAGGTTATAGAGTGGCTTTGCTTGTTCTTCAGCTGCAACAGTACCGAGCCTCGCTTCCTTTGGAGGAGGAAGAGAGAGAGAGAGAGTTGCTTGGTAAAACATACGAGGTATTTTTTTTCTTTTTTCCCGTTTTACCCTCCATCGCATGACTTTACTCGAAACGAACCCCAATTTTATTTTTATTTTTTTGAGGCTCATGGTGTGAATAATAATAACTAAGATTATTGTTCTCTTTTTGTGAGGTTTATATTTTTTTTAACCAAAAAAAAATCTTGGGCAAACATGTCAAGATATTAATAATAATAATAATAATAATAATAATAAGACAGGCATGAGGCAACGACAAGAAAAATGGGATGAGTGATGGACTCTCTTAAAAATATTATTTTATAATGGATTATATCCATCCTAACTACCTTGATTTAAATTATTTAAGAAATAAATAAATTGTTTTATAAAAAAAAACTAATCTTTTCTTCACTTAATAAGATTTAACAAAAGTGAATATATGACGACGTCTACATGTTTATTGGGAATCATAATTTTGGGAACAACATAATTACGGAATATAATAAGCCACAAAAAAAATTAAAAAAAAAGATTATGGAAGGTAGTGTCTGATGATGAAGACAAAGACGCGTGTGTAAAAAAGCTCGATGGTTCCAAAGGAAGGCATTAAATGCGAAATTGTTTATATATCCGAAACATACAAAAATAAAGACATTTGGTCGGGACGCTGGCGACGGTTACTCTCTCTTTTCTGCGCGGGAAACTTATTACATTTAATTAAAAAATAATAAAATAAAATAAAAAACGAGAGCGATTGGACGGAGAAAACACACAAATGCTCTCTTTTGGGCCTTTATTGGGCCCTACCTCACATGTCTCGCTTCAGGCCTCAGTTGCCCCACTTTCTCTTTTTATAATTGGATGTATTTTCCTTTTCCAATTATGATGATTAATCATGACATATTAATACTGTAATTTCATAACCTTTTTTTTGGATTATGATGAATAATCATTATCATCATCATTATTATATAGTCTATATATGTATGTGAAATAACGATGGGCGATGAGCTTGTTATATTCAAAACGTAATAAATAATGCGGTGACAAATGTGCCCACCAATCCCCAATCAACGATTCAATTGTATTAAATTTAAAATAAATACACTGAAAATGAAAGTGGATGTACTTTGTACTAGAAAATAGAAATCACCCTTTAGATCTGATTCGTGATTTTCTTTGAATAAGATAATCATACGAGCCAGGTTTTTATATATATAATATAATCATATATGATTGCGAGCGCGTGCGTCCACGCGTGTGTTTGACCTACCTTCTGTTAATATTTATTGCTATTTGTTATAAATAATTAGCATACTAATAATAGAAATAAACATTACTTTGAATGGCCACGTAAGATATTATTTTTATCATTCAGTGCGCTCAAATGAGCGTCGAGCACGTTTCATAAATCAATTAATCGGACATATTTTCTTGCAAAAAAACAAATGTAGACAATGACAACTTCAAATCAAAATACGAATAATTAGGTATTAAAGATGGATTTTTTTTCTGTGTTGGATTTAACAATTTAAGAAATTTCCGTTAACAAAAAAAAAGAAGTCCATGTTTTGATGCCGTGAACGGTTTTTTTTTTTTGATAATCCGGAAGTTCGCTGGGTCTTTGGTCCGACTACATCTCCCAGAAGATCAGTGAAACCCAGGTGAATGCCTCTCCTCACGGTTGTTGTTGTTGCCCTCCTCGTTTTATAATAAATCTAATTTATTTTTAAATTTTGGCTTGTAAACTAATAATACTGCGAGGCATGAAATGCCAAAAATAAATTATATGCACCTAACTTTGATGTTGGTTGTTGTTAGAAGCTTGATTTTCAAGTTTATGTTTTCTGTTTTAGCATATTTGATTTAATAATACGATAATATATTATATCCCAATTACGTTTGGCGTCAAAAATGAAAGAATCCTATGCAAATAGATTCCAGATTCTGTGGACTCCGTATTTTCCTAGTCCAGAATTTGATGCCCGTAAGATGGATCCATGGGAACTATATAATATAATCAAACTAGTTATTTTCTTTGCTATTGTAATTATTGAATTACCTCCTAATGGCGCCACAACTAGGGGTGGCCAATTCGGGTTTCGATTCGGTTATATCCGGGTTCAATTATTTCGGTTGTAGAAAGATTCTAACCATTCGGTTTTTATATAAATTTTGGTTCGTTTATTTTTCGGTTATTTTCGATTTGAGTTCGGTTCGATTTCAGTTTTTTTGGATTTAAAGAAATCATAACCGTTCAGTTTTGATATCGGATTTCGGTTCGGATACGGATATATCTTATTTAATTCAATTCAATTCCGTTAATAATAGAAATGACCATCTTACCCACAGCTAAGTAAAGTAAACTGCTAGACGAATACGAGATAAGGATAAAATGGCATATTTGGACCGACGGTCCACGGGGGTTCGTGCCGAAAGCGTTATGCTAATTTTGATTAATGATTAATCTGACAAGTTCATGAATCAGTCAGTTTCACGGACACTTTGTTGTCAAATCAATGCATACATTAAAAATGATGGAGAATAATAAAAACTTCCATGACTTTGTTACATTCAATTAATGTAATTATGAGTTTAGTAATCATCGAATGGAGTTTTGATTGTTGTAGAGTGCACATGATTTGAAAACAAATCCATTTCAATCTGACTTTAATTAAAATTAATTATGTATTTTTTAAATGAATTTTCAGGTTCAAATTTCATGAGACAACATCATATCATGAAACAAAAAAAGAGAAGCATATTATATTAGGTCTATTAAAACCCAAGGTATGAAGCCCATGTAAACGACGCACACTTACAAGGCCGATATATGGGCCTTACGGCAGGCCCACTATAAAGACCTTTTTCAAAAGAATTTAATTATGAAAAATAAAATAAAAATGGCGGATGTTTGCCATAATCCGGATGTTGGTTCCTTTCTGATTTTACCTCTAATACCATAATCCATGGAGCGATGTAATTCACCACGTGGCATATGAAAATGTTTTCTCCTTTTTTTTTCAGATAATTTTGTTTTCTTATTTAGTGGGAAAAAAAAACAGTTAATCCCTATTTTAATTATAAATAAATTCCCTCCACTTCTCGATTACACAACATATATGATTTTAATGAAAAATTCAAACGTTATTAAATGTCTATTAATTTCCAAATATTAAAGAACATATTAAGGTATATAACTGATTGTATAATACATAATACGATGTGGTCCATTCTATCTTTTTGTGTTATTTTTTTTTCCGTGGTAATTGGCACCATGTTCACGTGCCAACTGGTTCACAGCTAAAAAAGCTCATTATTAAATTTCACATACTTCAAAATAACAATAATAATAAAATTATTGTAATCAGTATTTTCTGTGTAATTTATTTTATTCTGCACAATATATTTTACAGGAGTCGGACAGGTTTTTCTAACACCAATATGATACAGTATTATTATTTTTTTTGTATTCATTGATTGGGTCTTTTGCGTGTCACAAGTTACGGAGGGTAAATCATTGGTCCAAACTTCATTATACAGTTATTATTACATATTACTAACCGTATAAATATACTGTATACTATATTAATATATATATATATATATTTCAATGATAAAACATAATTTTAGTTTATTTTATTTTGAAACAAATAATTTCATGAATCCACAACTCGAAATTCTTTTTTTGGTAAATACAACTCGAAATTCCTGAAAACAACATACAGTGTTTATTTATTATATGAAAATGGGTCCGTCCCGGCTCGCTGGTCAATAATATATTCTCATGATTAATTAAATTCCTACGTGTATATATACGCTCGAAATACAATATACACAGATCCATATGCGAGCATCATGTATAACTATTTTTTTCTATAATTAAAAAAAGCTACGTGCTTTTTAATTAATAGATTTTAGAAACTCATATACAACGATTATAAATATAAAATAAATATCCAACTCAAAGGTTATACATTGATTAGAATAATAGCAAATATAAAAAAATAGTTGTTTTTTTAAAGGCTGATTACTATTATATTATATATACATTATGGATATTATTGCGTGCAACCACCTCATCTAAATAAAAACTACTCGAAACTTTATTTGGTGATCCACTGCCCATTATACGACAAAACAAATACTATATTTATATATATCATATAATAATTTATTAAGAAAGAGATCATTAATCGACGGGTGAAAATCATTAATTATACTTGTCGACGACGTGATCCAAACACCACACACACACACTATATATATATATATATGTGTGTGATTTACTAGCTCACTACCAATGTAAATATATAATTATGCAGAAAAGTGTAACTATTATCTTAATTTGTATTTACTATTATAAAAAAAATTTGAGATTAGTTGTGGGATCTAAACTTCATCATAATACGATCTAAACTTATAGTTATATAAATATGATAAAAGTCATTAAAAAGTAAATCATTATACCAAAAAATCTAGTATATTGATTTGTATTACTATAATAACAAAATCGGTATTACTCATTAGTGGAGTCTAAACTTTATCATATAAATTGTAGATATATAATTTAAAATTTATAAATATTATGAAAATAAGAACAAATCAAGTTGTCGGACTAAACATCTAACAAGAGAATGTTAATATAATTGGCATAGTTATCATAATCATTGTTATTATGAGAATAAATTGTTGGATATATGATTGCTAATTAAGTTAATTGAAAATGAGCCGTCCATTACAAAAATAACAAAATATAATATGATGGATGGGAACGTGAGTGAGGCCAGACGAAGATACCGAAATCATCCCTGCGAGATCAAAAGGCATTTGAAACACAAAAGGGGCAAAAAGGACAATGCATACTACGTGTCGTCATTGGCGTAGAGATAAAGTCAATTCCTAAACGGTATCCACCGACCTACCTTCCGTCGATGCGTACACATTTCATATATATGTACACACACATCGTATTTATAAATATTATATTATTTAAATCATACACATCGTAATCGTAATAACATGGTATGCTACAAAATGGTCCTCACAGAAAAAAAAAAAAAAAAAAAGAAGAAGAGAGATTCCTTTAATTAATATCGAAATTTGAAGGAAACCATTTCCGAATATTAGCTACAACATTTTAATATTGCTGGATGTGAATAGTTGCAAATAAAAATACTATACTGTTGTGAAATGATTTACAGTTAGTTTCTTATGTGGACATATAATTTAGGCATCGTGTGATTGAGATTATTGTATATAACTATATTTATTTCCATCAATAATATAAAAATGAGGAGGTTTATTATAACTTCAAGTTTTTTTCTTGTACTTTTAATGAATTCAATTTCTTGTAAAGGAAGAGTGTTTTAAATTTATGACATAAATACAAAGCGTATGTCAACTCCACCACCTCTTCATCCACCCTTCAACTTGAAAGGTTTCTGTTCCATTAAAAAAAAATCAGAGAGACACAGCTTTCCAATCGACCGAATACCTTTTTTTTTTGTATTTGATTTTTTATTTCCGGCTTCTTCTCTCCCATTTGATGATTATTCCAAACAAACACACCTCCATGGGAGTGTTTATCTTCTAATTTTTACCAAATCCTCTTCGTTTTTTTGTCGGTGAATTTGGAATTTTCTCCTCTCCCCCATAATCGTATAATACCACCTGCAATCTCTCTCTCTCCCCTCCGACATCCTTATTCTCTGTCATAAAAACCTGAGCATGTAAGAGTCTCTCTCTCTCTCTGTACGTATAAACCCAGATCGAGAAATCGGATAATCTTGCAGACCCAGTTTGAAAGCCAGAGACTTTGGGACAGAAGCTCGTTGGAAGGGCATGGAGTGCAGCGGAGGAGGAGGTGACGTGGCAGGTACGAGGAAGAGGGAGAGGCCGTACAAAGGGATAAGGATGAGGAAGTGGGGCAAGTGGGTGGCCGAGATTCGGGAGCCGAACAAGCGGTCAAGGATCTGGCTTGGTTCTTACTCCACTCCCGAGGCGGCGGCTCGCGCCTACGACACCGCCGTCTTCTACCTCCGTGGGCCCACCGCTCGCCTCAACTTCCCGGAGCTCTTGCCCGGCGACAAATTCTCCGCCACCGAGGACTTGTCGGCGGCCAACATCCGGAAGAAAGCCACCGAGGTCGGAGCTCAGGTGGACGCCCTCGGCTCCTCCGTCCTCAACACGCGCCACCGTGTGTTTGGTCAGAACCGAGACTACGGCCTCCACAACGACAATCTTCCTCGTGATTTTCAAAGCCACGGTCACAACGACGAGGACGAGGACAAGAGGTTGAAGAGTGGAGTTGGGCGGGTTGACTTGAACAAGATACCCGACCCGGATAGCTCTGATGATGATTGGGATACCAAATAAATTTAATCTTACAAAAATCAAAGAATCAAAGAGAGAGAGAGAGAGCAAAATCTTCTCTCGTTTCTCCACTCATCTCTCCGTATGTGTTGAAAATTTCTGAATATTTTTTAGGGTTTTTTTTTTTCTCTCCTCTGTTATTTTGCAATTCATCTATTTTTCCCACGAGGATTTTGAGAATGATGGAACTTTATAGGCAATTGAGAAGCAGCCCAATTGTATATTATCATGTCGAATTATCGATCTTCTCTGTGTTCTCTAGTCTCGATTTTTTTTTACTGCATGCAATTTGTGTTCTTACTATATGCACTGCCTCGACTGATTTGGTTACAATCATATTTTACGGGTTTGCGTTTATATTTAGCCGTTGGTGTTCAGTTCATATCGTCGTGTGGCGATATAGCCGATGTGCGGTACGGTATGTTACCGTCTATAATAGTGGCTAAATTAATTATACAAAAACTGATAATATTTACTTTTTATATTTTAAAAGTTTTAATACCGAGATTATATATATATATATATAGAAAAAAGAGACAGGATATAAAGGTGGTAAATGAAAGCAGACAAAAAGTGGCCTACATGCATGATTGATACAATATCAAGAGCAAGTTGACAATGCCTATCCACAATTTTTCAGTTATTATACAAACTTCTAAGATTGATAAGGGTTTTTTTTTTTTTTTTTTTGGATCGTCGGGGCGTTTTGTTTTCCGCCTCTCTTCTCTCTCACTTTATGTGGGCACCATTCAGATTTATATATGTTCCTTATGTTTTTTTTTATGTGACCTATTTTGTTACAAAGTTACAAAACTACAAACCCCTAATTAAATAAATTCCAATCTTGATATATAATTATTTGCTTGCCATTTATTTTAAATATGGACAAATGATGCATGTCTAAATGGGACATAATTAGGAGGACTTGTTTGGGTTTTTCCTTTATTTTTATTTTTTTTTGTATTTTATCTTTTTCCGATAGGTTTGTATCCCAAACTGGGTTTTCGTGTGGATCATGTCCCTTACCTTTTGGATTCGTTAAAACCACGTCCATACCATTTGTTTTTTGTTTTGTTTTTTTGGTAAGTCATTATCCTAAACCACAAGCACAAGCATCGATCTCAATCGATGCTTCTAATTTGTGGAACTAGTCTTTATTGCGAAAGCTATACATAGCAAAACACGAAGCATCATGTAAATGAATCACCCACCTACTTGTATGTGTGTATATATATATATATATTATATTATACGTATGTAGAGGCTATACTCCGAGTACTGGTTGATATAATAAAATATCTATTGAAGTTGATTCCGTGATGTGATGTGTATCATATCATCAAACGGGCGATTATATCTTTGATTATTTAATTGAACAACTTTGATACAAACCCAACTCAAGATGCCCTAAACGTTTATATGTATATGTGTATGTATGGAAAGAATGGAAATTAAAAGATACCGAACGAGCAAAAGAGCACAAGTTGGATAAATCCATCAAAGTGGAGAATGATTTGATGGGCCGATGGGGTGCGTTGTGTTCCCAATCACTGTCACATCGCTGTTTCTTGTGTTTGTCACTCCTCACTCATTTATTATTATTATTATTATTATTACTAAAAACCCAAAATTATGTGGATTCATACAATAAACGATAAATTTTATGCAAATGCAATTGAGTAAATGGGAGCAGTTGAAGCATTTGGACCAGTGCGGGCTTGTGTTTTGAGACGTGTTGCAGATAAACAAGGCTCAGGAATAAGGCCTTTTTTTAATTAAATGGGCCATAAATGGATTAAGACCTCATTTTTATGGACTCTTATGAGGCCCATTAATTGTAACAAAGGCCCATTCATAATGGGTTATAGGAGCCCTAACATCGATGCATTCGTTTCCGACACCTAGACCAAGCTGTCCACATCTGCTTATACTTGTTCATTAGATAATTAACCATGTTTGTTTTGGCAGTTGATTGGTAGAATTACGGTGAGATTAAATAACCTATATATATATATATGTTTTTTTTTATCTAGTTTAAGTTAGTATATAGTGTTAATAGAATGAATAAAATAAGAATTGTAGTCAAATGAAACTAACGTTATTTATTTCCATTCTTTTTTATTATCAATACAATAATAACAATAACAATAATTGGTTCATGATGATAGACCCCAGCTTGTGTGTTCTCTTACGCAATAATACCCCGATTACGAATTTGGAATGTACTTTATTGGAACATGTTTTGGATCCATTGGCCGAATAATCAAATTCACTTTCTTATTATAAGAAATGTTTCTCGGATAAGTATATAGTACCCTTCAATTTTAGACACCTTATGAGCCCTTTTAAAAGTTTTCACCAAAATCGGATCCTACCTAGACAGCCTCGCTACATATAGAACATAAAAAGAAGAATATATATATATATCTATATATATATATATATATATATATATATATATATATAGCCTTTCTGTATATATATAGAAGTATAATTCATACCTTTAATGGGGGACAACGCTCTTAATCATATTTTTCAACACCTTAAGTTGGATATTTAAAAAAAAAGAAGAATTCCACGAAATGAAATGATACCGTTTATTATAGGAATTTAACAACACATTTAAAAAAAAGTTGTATTTACAAAACAAAAGTCATATGCGTGTGTATATTTATATGGGTATTCCATTAATTCAAACTACCCAAATATCGGAATCAGACAACATCATCATATCACACGAAGGGAATCTTTGATTTATTCTCAAAAAATAAATTTCACATGAAATATATATATATATAAATGAAAACTAGAGGGTAAAAAAGAGGACGGGTCTCATAACTCTCTAGGCAATTAACTGAAACGATGCGCATAATAATGGGCTTTGCTGTCTTCAACCACATCCACCTTGTTACCTTTTCCACAACATTTTCTTTTTCTCATTTTTTTTCCATTTTCATGCAACGTATATGTCACACGTGTCCTATATATATATATATATATATATGTCCATCCGTTATTATCGTATAATTTGTAATAGCTTTGCTTTTATTGTTGCTCACGATACGATGAGGGGAGAGAAAATACATGAGCAATTTTAGAAATATTAGGGGAATTGGGAAAAAAACCCTAATTAAAAAAAAAATATAAACGATCTCAACCTATAATTATTATTTGATTACAAATGCGTCTGCGTACGCAAGTGGGGGATGTGGGGGGGGGGGG